AGTTTACACTCATCCAGGCCCTGATGTCTGCCAGACAAACTGATAAAACATCAATGTACCTGGAGTTGGTACTGGAGGAGCCAAAGTAGATTTGTGTGTCATCGCCCAGAGGGAGCATATAGAAAAGAAAAGAAGAGGGCCAAGGATGAAGCCCTGGGTACCCCGCAGGTGACCTGGCAGGGGAGGGAGGAAAAACATTTGATGAGATGAAATGGAGGCGGATGGTTAAGTAGGACTCGAACCATGCAAGTGCAGTCCCACTAAGGTAGATTAAGGAGGAGAGCCAATGGAGGAGGATGGCGTGGTTGACTGTGTCGAACACGGCAGAGAAATCCAGGAGGACGAGGAGACAGAGGGATCCCTGGTCACAAATAGAGAGAAGGTCATTTCTAACTTTGACAAGCGCTGTCTCTGTGCTGTGGGCAGGGTGAAAACCAGACTGCAGGGGCTCGAGGAGTGAGTGGAGGAAGAGGCTATAGTGTAAAGTGGAATGACTTTTTATGGGCAAACGTGGAAATGTCTCACAAACAGCCATGAAGTGAGTCACCATTTTATTTTGGAGGATTGTTAGCCAGGACACCGAGAAAAACTCTCTCATTTCAAATGGCACATTGGGTTCTTTATCCACTTGAACAAGCAAACAGGACCTCGGTTTAAAATCTAATCCGAAGCATGGCACCTCCAAGAATACAGCACACTGTTACATTGGAGTGTCACCTTAGACTTCAAGTTCCAAGTACCGACGTGGAGCTTGAACCCACAACCTTCTGACTCTTAAGCGAGAGTGCTACTAACCGAACTAAGAAGACACATATAATGCGTTTCACAAAGTGTTTGCCAACTGTACCATTATGTCAATAGGTGCAAATGTTTTTTTTCCCCAGATGTGTGTATTGTCAATTGTATAGGTTAGGACTGTGTTAGACTTAAGGTCAATGGCTTCAATATTCTGCTTTAATGGAAATGGTAAGCAACTTAGACACTTAAACACATTTTACAGGAAATCAATTAGAAATGAAATGACTCATGTAGGAATGATGAGCCAAATTTCATTTGGAGAATGAATTTAACTAAGATTAGCTTACTGATCACAAAATAGTCGTAAACTGCATGTATTCATTGAGTCACCAACATGCTCTAAGCAAGCAATTTTATACACAACACCTAATGTAGTTGGAATTTCTTTCTAAGACATACAAACACCAATTTTGCACTAAATACATTCATACTGTTGTCCATTTAATTTGAAGCTAATGGTGTATTGCAGACCTGCCACCAATAGAAGCACCAATGGCAATGGTGCTTTAAAACAAATTAGATTTAAAACAAATTGCTATGTACTGAGCTGGGAGAGTGGTAAGAGAACTACAGAAAAGTTGTACACCTGGAGACAGCAGCATCCAGTGAACTCTAACATTGCCTTTCACAAAAAGCTTTACTAACCACCTGGTGCCCGAGTGTTTTTTTGCCCAGCTATTCAGTGTAGCAATACTGCAGATTTTACTGTGAAAGCTTTAAGAATAAAGTAAAAAGATATGAATCAGGACCAAGACAGCACTTCCTCAGTTATTTCTCCAGCTCTATGGGATCCACCCAACAACATAACATTGTATAAGTTTACAGAGTCAGAAGCTTTAAAATGTAGTTTTTTTCATATCATGCAGTATAATTCTTGCATGCAGTAGCTGTCTATTACTGCCAATGATTCAGGTCACACCCAGCACAAGTTCTGCCCAAAAGTTTGACAATTGCTTATTATGTAATAATGTTTCATTAGTGCCTTGGGATGTCCTCCCGACATGAAAGGCGCTATACAAATGTAATCTTGTTGTTGTTTCATTAACTATCTTCGGGCATTTTGTAATTGCTCCACAAATTTATTCAAGAAATAAATGGAACAGAGAGGTTCGAGGTTCAAACGCTGGCTTGCGCCGTTGCTAGGGAGGATTGCGCTTGTTGTAATGTGTATAGCAGGCCTCTTAGGAGAGATATCAAAATAACCACCACCGTTAAAACCCAGTAGAATAAAAACAATACATTCTGTGGGGGGGAGAGGAAGAGAAGAGGAAGAATTGGCTATACAAAAATTTGTAGCAGCAAGATGGGAGAAAGCTTATCAATAAGATTTGATGGAACTTTTAAATTTAGTATCAAGTCAATATGAAATAACAGTCAGAGATTTGGGAGATACGGAAGGTGGAAAAACTGATTGCAGTCGGAAGCAATTACATTTGTCACGTGACAAATTCAATCTATGGCTGCAATGAGAACACTGGGAACTGGGGAACAGGTGCAATGGGCAGGTCTGGGATTTCTCGCCGTGGTGTAATGTACGCCCAAATTTTTTGCTTCACAGGAATTATTTATTGTCTGATCTTTTCCACACAAAGTCAGAGTTCTCATTAACTGTTGTTGATTATTTTCACCTCTTGCTCTCAACATATCTAGGGTGATAATGACAATTATGATACTGTAAGCCAACCTGACTAAAGGTCATCTAATTCAAGAAGACCCCGGTAATCAAACTATTGCATGTCTCAGTACTAATTGATGTGTTTATTTGCTAAAATATTGGTGGCGATCAATTTACTACTTAATATACAATGATAATAATCCTTGCATTTGATATAGCGCTTTTCACATCTTCGAGACATCTCAAAGTACTTCACAGTACTGTAAAGTGAATTGACTGTATTTTTGTGGGCAAAACGCATTAGAAGCTTAGACTTGCATTAGAATTACTTGGATTAGAAACTCAAATAGTTCATAGAGATGCTGATTGATTAGGCACTGGAGTGGATTTCCTGTACAATATTGATTTAGCTTCTTGGATTTCAATGCACTACAAGCTTTCTTTTGTTCAGTAATGTGTAAAACAATCTACCTTTTTAAATTTTAAAAATGTAACTACAATAGTTATTACAGATAATTACATATTTGTAGAAATTAAGCTTGCTTATAATATTGCCTGCTATGCAGAAATATTTTTTAATCTGCTGTAAACTGCATCCTGTTGGTTTTCATGTGCTGTGCATTATAACCTGTGCTTTTTTTCTCCGGAATGACCAAAGGTTTACAGCACAGTAGACCATTTGGCCCACTGTCGGAAAAAATAATGGCAAGTTTCACACATTAAAGTTCCCCACTGGACCCCAAAAGTGCTGACCTTGAACAAGGCTAGGAATACCACAAGAGGGAAAGCAATGGCCCGGAATCTAAAAGGACTATTCTTTACACTATCATGGGTCTGTCTAGCTCTGTTGGTAGCACTCTCGACTCTGGGTCAGAAAATTGTGCTTTAAATACCACCTCAGGGATTTGGAGCATATATGGTTTAGGCAGTATTGCACTGTGTTGTTGCCAGTTCTATCCTTTGAATGTGGCTTTAATCTGAGGTCTTACTTGCTTCTTCAAGTGGATATTAAAGAACCCACTAAAGTAATTGAAAAGAGAAGGGAGATTCTCCCAGGGTCGTAATCAATAATTCTTCATTTAGCCATTCACCTCCTTCTGTTTGTGGGACATTGTTGTGCACAATTGGCTACAAATACATACTCTACCGAAAACTCTGGTAAGCTCTTTGAGACATATCAAAGTAACATTCCCTCGATGTGAAAGACATTTATAGAAATGCAATTTGTTGTTTTATTAAGGCTCTCGAGTCTATAATCAATTACAAGGAACACTCTTATTAATCACAAACTTCTTTAAGGTTTAAATGCAACTAGACCAACATTTATCCAGGCAATACATTTCCAGCTTTCAGTCATTAAACTCTGGCAACATGAACTGGTTTGGCTAAGTACTTTTCATTTTATCATGCTAAGTAACCTATTTGCAGATTTCAAAATTATAAAAGGATGCTGATAATTCAGGTAACTTGTTCACTATAACGAAGGAATGAAATATTGTTCTTAGAAACATAACTTTCACCCACAAATATACGGTCAATTCACTTTACAGCATATTCTGTGAAGCGCTTTGAGACGTCTAGAAGATGTGAAAAGCGCTATATCAAATGCAAGGATTATTATTATAACCTGATGGATTAATAATACCCCACTGTCAAAGAACAATGCAATCACTCAGTGTCTTGGTTTGTACATTAAGAATGGCTACTTGGGCAAGATAGCAGATAGCTTCATGGGCACACTGCTATCTCCAGCACATGTCACTCACTACCTTTTGAATAGACAGACAGTCTTAGGTTTTCAATATACATACAAAACGCTGCTATCCCAGTATAGTATCCCACTAGGTGCAGTTCATTGCATTTTTAGGTGTAGCTTGGCCATTCACTGTAAAATAACTCCAAATTGTTGCACCTGGTATTCATCAAGTAATTATTTCATATTAAAATTAAAAATGTCACTTTGTATAGACCCCTTGAGTAGATGAGTGCAACACCCCCCACACACAAATTAAACTATTTATCTCCTCCATCCCTCCCCCAACTGCTACCCAGTCCGAATTCCAATTCAATAGTTGTTCTCAGCTTGCTTCATGGGGGTTTCCACACAAAGATTTATTGTTCCAATTTATGATGAACCGAAATCGAAAGTTGATGGAAGCCACAATATTCTGTAGAGTTTATTACATGATCCGCTCGTTTATAAGCTTTTTTTAAAGAAAGAAACCTAAGCACCTCGCAGATTTCAATAATTTCCCAGTTACCAACATGTGCAATAACAAAGCTGCAGTGTGCACTTACCCCATCATAATAACTAAGGCATACAGATGCACACCAAAATAATAACAACACTTTTATCAACTAAATTAACCATTTATAACACGGGGAGAAAGGAGTTCGGGATGCAACGTGATTTAGCACGCGTTTCCCCCAAAATACCGGCATGTAAAACGAGCAAACCTTCCGCAATTTAATCCATACTTTCAAAATGCACATGACGAAAAAAACTAAAATGAAAGTAAGTAGCTTCTTGTTAATGTGCGATGGGTTGTGTAACAATGCTCGTATTGAACTGAACACAGGACGCTACCTCTTTTGTGAGTTCACTTGCATTTGGTGCGGCCACCGCCTCGAGGCTCTCCACCGGCTCACAGTCGAGGTTTGCTCGGGTATTGTCGCTCTCGCCACCCGCGCCGTCACCGCCTCCCCCCGGGCCGCCGGCACCGCTCAGCGGGTCAAGGTTTTGCTGCCCGTCGCTGGGATCCTCCGTATCCCGGTGGGCGAACCAGGCGTTCACCTCGGTGCGTGGGATCCGGAGCCGATCCAAGGAGCGCACTTGGCTCAGAAGCCTCCTGGCCGTGAAATAATAGTCCAGGTCCGAGCACTTGGGGTGCAGGCTGCTGCCGCTCCGGGTGTCCCTCAGGCTGTGGAACGGGATCTGGGTGTAAGCGGAACTTTGGCCCAAAATGATCTCGCCCAGGAGAGGCCGAGGGGAGCCCAGGTAGGAGTCCACATCCACGCGGACTCCGACTAAACTCAGGAGTACAGTGAACTGGATGAGTCCTTCTGTGAAATACTTCTTCAAGCAGCACATCTTACTTTTGCCAACACGGGGAGGCGCGGACAGCAGAGCCACCGTGAGAGCAGAGAGGCCGAGAGCCCTTTCCTCCCGCTGCTCGTGTCAGCCCCACAGCTGCCCACAAGCTGAGGAACAAAGGGGGAAATGACCGGCCAGAGAGAGGGAGCGGGGGGGGGGGGGCAGCGGCCAGAGAGAGGGAGGGGGGCAGCGGCCAGAGAGAGGGGGGGGGGGGGGGCAGCGGCCAGAGAGAGGGAGGGGGCAGCGGCCAGAGAGAGGGAGCGGGGGGGGGGGGGCAGCGGCCAGAGAGAGGGAGGGGGGGGGCAGCGGCCAGAGAGAGGGAGCGGGGGGGGGGGGCAGCGGCCAGAGAGAGGGAGGGGGGGGGCAGCGGCCAGAGAGAGGGAGCGGGGGGGAGGGCAGCGGCCAGAGAGAGGGAGGGGGGGGGGGCAGCGGCCAGAGAGAGGGGGGGGGGGGCAGCGGCCAGAGAGAGGGAGCGGGGGGGGGAGGGCAGCGGCCAGAGAGAGGGAGCGGGGGGGGGCAGCGGCCAGAGAGAGGGGGGGGGGGGCAGCGGCCAGAGAGAGGGGGGGGGGCAGCGGCCAGAGAGAGGGAGGGGGGCAGCGGCCAGAGAGAGGGAGGGGGCAGCGGCCAGAGAGAGGGAGGGGGCAGCGGCCAGAGAGAGGGAGGGGGCAGCGGCCAGAGAGAGGGAGCGGGGGGGGGGCAGCGGCCAGAGATAGGGAGGGGGCAGCGGCCAGAGAGAGGGAGGGGGCAGCGGCCAGAGAGAGGGAGCGGGGGGGGGGGCAGCGGCCAGAGAGAGGGAGGGGGCAGCGGCCAGAGAGAGGGAGGGGGGGGGCAGCGGCCAGAGAGAGGGAGGGGCAGCGGCCAGAGAGAGGGAGGGGGGGGCAGCGGCCAGAGAGAGGGAGCGGGGGGGGGGCAGCGGCCAGAGAGAGGGAGGGGGGGCAGCGCTCACACAGACGGGCACTTTTATCCGACCCCCAAATACACAACAAATGTCCAACCCCAAAGCCCCCACACACACCCCCCAACACACACACACACCCAACACACACACACAACACTCACACACCCCCAACACACACACACACACACCCAACACACACACCCAACACACACACCCAACACTCACACACACCCCAACACAAACCCCAACACTCACACACCCCCCAACACTCACACACACCCCAACACACACACACACCCAACTCACACACACCCCAACACACACACACACCCAACTCACACACCCCCCAACACTCACACACCCCCCAACACTCACACACACCCCAACACACACACACACCCAACTCACACACACCCCAACACACACACACACCCCAACACACACACAGACTTGAGGATTGATTGGGGAAGGAAACAGAAGTGTGGCCCCAGGTGTGTCTCTCTCTCTCTCTCTCTCCGGCACCCACGGGAGTCTATAGAAGTCGCCACATTTTCTTTTTGTATATAACAATTTACATGTGAAGGCCGGGAGCGGAGGGTCAGGTTACAGCGAGTGTTTGATGTGCTTCTGGCGGGGCCGCGGCTGTTCAGTGACCAACCGTCACCAGCAGCGCCGCCTCACGCGGCTCTCTACTGACTTCCGGCAGTTAGTCTGGTAGCGCGTCACCGGAAACTGTCACCGGCTCCAGCACTCCCCCCCCCCCCCCAGCCTGCCCCTCCCCCCCCAGCCTGTCCCCACCCACCCAGCCTGTCCCCCCCCCCAGCCTGCCCCTCCCCCCCAGCCTGTCCCCACCCACCCAGCCTGTCCCCCCCCCCCCAGCCTGCCCCTCCCCCCCCCAGCCTGTCCCCCACCCACCCAGCCTGTCCCCCCCCCCCAGCCTGCCCCCCCCCCAGCCTGCCCCCCCCCCCACCCAGCCTGCCCCCCCCCCACCCAGCCTGCCCCCCCCCCAGCCTGCCCCCCCCCCCACCCATCCTGCCCCCCCCCACCCACCTGCCCCCCCCCCACCCAAGCCTGCCCCCCCCCACCCAGCCTGCCCCCCCCCCACCCAGCCTGCCCCCCCCCCACCCAGCCTGCCCCCCCCCCAGCCTGCCCCCCCCACCCAGCCTGCCCCCCCCCCCCCAGCCTGCCCCCCCCCCACCCAGCCTGCCCCCCCCCCCCACCCAGCCTGCCCCCCCCCACCCAGCCTGCCCCCCCCCCCCAGCCTGCCCCCCCCCAGCCTGCCCCCCCCCCCCAGCCTGCCCCCCCACCCAGCCTGCCCCCCCCCAGCCTGCCCCCCCCAGCCTGCCCCCCCCCCAGCCTGCCCCCCCCCCAGCCTGCCCCCCCCCCAGCCTGCCCCCCCCCCAGCCTGCCCCCCCCACCCAGCCTGCCCCCCCACCCAGCCTGCCCCCCCCCCACCCAGCCTGCCCCCCCCACCCAGCCTGCCCCCCCCACCCAGCCTGCCCCCCCCACCCAGCCTGCCCCCCCCCCAGCCTGCCCCCCCCCACCCAGTCTGCCCCCCCCAGCCTGCCCCCCCCCCCAGCCTGCCCCCCCCAGCCTGCCCCCCAGGAGAGCCTGCAGGATGGGGTTCCAGAGGCTGGGGGCACAGTGGATGAAGACCCGCCCGCCAATGATGGGGCAGTCGAGGTGCGGGGACGTGAAGCAGGCTGGAGCCCGCTGAGTGGAGGGAGCGGGCAGGGTAGTAGGGGATTAGGGGGTCACAGAGGTAGGGGAGAGCAAGGCCATGGAGGGCTTTGAAAGTGAGGACCAGGATCTTGAACTTTATTCTCTGTGATGGGAACCCAGTGGAGGCGAGTGATAGGGTCGTGGAGCCTGGTACGGAAGAGGACATGGGCTGCAGTGTTCTGGATGATCTGAAGCCTATGAAGGGAGAAGTTGGGGAGGCTGACAAGCAGGGAGTTTGCATAGTCGAGCCTGGATGTTACAAATGTGTGTATGAGGATCTCGCCAGGCCTGCGGTGAGTGTTGCGGAGGTGGGGAAAGGCAGAGGAGCGGGTCTTGGCATGGATGTGGGGTATGAAGGACAGTGAGGGTTGAACAGGACACCGAGGTTCCATATTGGCTCTGTGAGATTTGGAGTGCATCCATGGAGGGAGATGCTATCAGCACCCGAGGTATGAGACGCTGACAGCATCTCCCTCCATGGATGCACGGGAGCCAATGGGAGCCAAGCAGAGGGCCTCGGTCTTGTTGACATTCAACCGCAGGAAGTTAGCTCTCATCCAGGACTTGATGTCCGACAGGCCGTCTGTGAGGACAGCAGTGGTCCTGGAATTCAGGGTGGAGGCAAAGAGATAGAGTTGGGTGTCATCCGCATAGATGTGGAAGTGGACCCCATGTCTGCAGATGATGTCACCGAGGGGGAATATACAGATATTGAAAAGTAGAGTGCCTAGGATAGACGGAAGCCGCTGGAGACACCCCCACCACACACACACCTAAACACAAACACCCCCAGAGGCACTCCCCTCACCACAGAGACGACACACACAGAGACCCAACCACCACACCTAGACCCCCACAGAGTCCCTCTCTGACACCTAGATGCTGTGCAGAAACCCCCCCCTCTATATCTAGACACACCCCAGACACCCCATACACCTAGACACTCCGCAGACACGCCCATACATTCCCCAGAGACGCCCACCATACCTAGACACTCCACTTCACAACATACCCAGAGACCTAAGATGTTTGAGCTAGATCTTGCGGTTGACTGTGAGGGTACTTTTGCGCCATCTGAACTCGAGTGCACAGGCTGTTGGGATTTAAGGGCACAAGAATTGTTATTTAAAGGTTGCTGTTGTACAAGGGGAGCAGGTGGAGTGGGAGATGGTCCTGGACTTCTGGGGAGCAAGTGAGTTGAAGGTGGAGGAGATTGTTTAGCAGATTCATTGCTGCATTAAGATCACTGCAGGTGGACAGCCAGAGGGAGACAAGGTCCGAGGAATCAGAGGTCATTAGTAAGGGACTTAGGGGGGAGCTTTTTCCAGTAGCAAAAGCAGGTAGTGGAAGGTTTGGTGGATGGAAATAAGACGTGGTAAGTGAGGGAGATCTTCAATGATCTCCTTCCTTTTGGATTAATGCTCTCGATTTAAATCCAAGCGTTTTGTTTGCCTTTTTTATGGACTTATTCACCTTAATGATCTGCATGTCTGCATACTGAGCTTCCTTAGCTCCTCTATTCTCTTTAAAATGTTACCATTTAAGGTGTATTTCCTTTTGCCATTTTTATATTTTATTTAATGTCATCTATGGATGTGTCATTTTGATTCACTCATCTTTTTCATTTCCTTTTTTTTAAAATTTATTTATTGATCTAAAAAGTTCACTAAATACCATAATTTATTTTTCAGTTCCACTTTTTAATTTTTATATTAAACATTTTTTCCATCTGCAAGGTCAATTTTTTTTAAAAAAAGGTTATTTTTTGCTAGGGGAGTTTTTCTTTAAATGTTAAGTTCCTGTAAGAAAATGTTCAATTCCGGTGTACTTCTAAACGTATACTCTAAGATGACACTCCAATGCACTGCTGGGGCTGTGCTGATCGTTGGAGGTGCCATCTTTCAGATGAGACATTAAATATTATTATAATAATTTATAATAATCCCTCCAAAACCAAAAAAAACAATAATAAATTGGTCATTTTCAATCTACGACTGTTTGTGGGACATTGCTGTGCGCAATTGGCTGCCGCGTTCGCCCACAAATATACAGTCAATTCACTTTACAGTGTGTTCTGTGAAGCGCTTTGGGACGTCCTCCCGACGTGAAAAGCGCTATATCAAATGCAAGGATTATTATTATTATTATTAAGACCCATCTGTCTGTTCAGGTAGACGTTAAAGATCCAGGGCACTATTCAAAAAGAGATGGGAGTTTCTCCTAGCCAACAACCATTCACTTCATAGCTCTTTGTGAGATATTGCTGTGTGCAAAATTAACTGCCATGTTCACCCTCAAAACACACAGGCACTGCACTTTACAGTATATCATGTGAAACGCTTTGGGGCATCCTTTCGACATGATAGGCACTGTACTAAAGTGAGGATTATTAATATTCCGTATATGTACTTGTTTCATGATTGTGGAATGTTCTTGCATTATTGTATGAAAAAATAAATGTTTTCAGAAACCAGGTTGCTCAATTCCAGCGTTCCCTTGCCAAACATATCAC